GGATCACCGTAACAGCGATTCAGCGTCAAAGGCAGGAAACGGTTACTGTCTAATTTGTGATTTAAATAAGATATTATTAATCAACTTTTCTAGCATAGCAACGGTGATTGTCATCGTTGTGCAGAAGAAAAAATTTGTGATCACTGGAATATCGGTCTTCCTTATACTATCATGATAAGAAGATTCTGGCATCCTTCTTCTCATAAAATTAATTAAAGACTGACACTATAGCGTGATGGGACAGTGCTTAACAGGTCTGCTTCGAACGCCACAAAACAAGAATTCCTTTAATTACACACGCTGCTTCAGGTCGGGGTTGTTCAATCGGTAAAGCGTCGGACTCAGGACCAAGAGGTCCAGGGTTCAAGTTCAAGTAAGGTCACTCGTCTTTCTTCCTTCCGAAATTAATAAGTGAGTACCATTCTGCACGAAAAAACAGGAGATTACACGCTTCGCTTGCCAGATTGCCTTTAAAAATAAGGCATTCTTGGCTGATGGCAAAGAAGCGAAAAGAGATGCAGTAGAGCATTGTCCGCAAGTGCAAGTAGGGGATTACCATTAGTCCACGATGCAGCTCTCTATTGCTCTTGGCGGAACTTCCGCACGAGGGAGTCGTGCCTCTGAGTGAATTCGCAAACGATGGTTCGATACTCAACAAAAACGTTTGCAACGCTATTATAAAAGTGGGGTTACAGGGTAACATGGCGGAGAGAAAGCTCATGGAACAGACAATGGGAGTCTAACAGACAACAGTATAAAGATGAACGTGGATAAGCACTTCATGTGGCTTAAATAAATCTTGGTAAAGATGATGGTCTGACACTATGAGGTAAATCGGCGCGTTGCAATGGCAATGACAAAAAAGTCCTGAAAAGAAATATGTATTTATGGAAGTATTCCACATGAAGAAGAACGCGTTATCAGCGTTTTACTAGCAGTCGTATTTTCGGTACTCCAGTAGGCAGAAAACATCTGTTCCAGACATGTGGTGACGCTCCGTGCGAAATAACTTCAAGGTGAGATGGTAAAGTCGGATCACGCGAGCAACATGAGTAAGTGCTGAGGACCATCGGTCTGAAAAACTACGAAGTCAAAGTTATGTCCGACATATCGTGTGCTCAGCATAGTCTGCAACACCGTAACACTTCACTGAGGTCTAATACCGCAAATCGCGACTTGGTCATACGGTAGATCATATGATCAGGTTTCATCTGCTGTTTCTGGTGCTCGAATCTTCCGTCCAGAACACTCCTTGTCGCTCCTTTGCAATTTTGCAAAAGGCTAAGACAGTCACATTTTCACAATCATATCAACTACTAACTTCAGTTAATCAATTCACCGCAAGATGATAACAGCTATCACATACCTGTCACGCCGTTCTTCTGTATTAATGCAACGTGACGAGCCTGAAGGTGGATCCTTCTCCGTTCTTGCTAAATTATAATTTATTCTGCGACGGACTTCGAGTGCCCTATTTGCCGAACTTGCTGCAATGCTCCATCAGACGCCTAGGAGAAATGTGAATAAAGACAAGATCGAACGAAGAATGAATATACGGCATGTTATTGCGATCACAACCGTAAGTCTCGTAATTAGAACGATGTTAGATATTTGCGAACCCTAACGATGCAGAGGGTTAAAGAAAACAATTCAGGCGTTACAGACCCGGGTTCACCAGTGAATGCAGCATCAGACGCAGAACCGAGAGGTCTCGCGTACGAGTCCCGGTCGGGTCGATCGTCCTTCTTTCTGAGGATGATAAACAAGTATGCCGCTGTGAAGGAAGGAACGAAGATACT